AATATATAGCCCTTTTTCTGTTAGAAAACTTTAAAAAATGTTAGATTCGGCAACAATTGAATATGTAGGAGTAGCAACAACTTTTTCACCTTCAACTAACCTGGAAATGATCATCATCGGAAAACGAATGATCTTGTGTGTTTATTTAATCTTTTTTAAAAATACAGCTTTTTAGATGAATACAAGAGCGTAATAAGTATTTGAAAGAATAGCATTCAGCTGCTCTTTATAACACATATTACGCTCCCATAGTATATGCTTTACCTGTTTTTAGGCCAGCCATTGATAGTGTAACTACTATCAGAAATATTTTTTTCTTTTCATTGCGAACACAGAAACCCGTAAAATCGTCAAAACACTTTTTGTGCGAAAAATCAAAACAATCAAAACAAGCAAAACAATTTTTGTGCGTTTCGTCGATTTTTGACGAAATATGATCTTGCACAATTTTCTATTTTCATATTCAGGTTCAGCATGACATTCTGCACCAGAATCACTATCAATTTTATTTTTTCAATGCTTCCCTGTCCGTAGGGCAGCCAAAGAGCCTTTTTTTCGAAAAATAAGAAATTTAGCCTAAATTCAAGATTTCTACTCACCAGGCGTTTTCTGACACTTCTGATAGTTATATTCGTGATGAGCGTGGTAGATTACATATTACGAGGCGCTTTAGAAAAAATCAAAACATCAAAAGTTTCTCAAAATCCTTCCTGTAGAAGAGGACCACAGGCAGCAAAAATCTGACTGAAAATTTCGCAAAACTAAGTACGAGAAAATGTTCCTAGACATGCTCTTACACGGTTCCAATGTAAAAAATTTCGAAAATTTTGTGGGCAAGAAAACGGTCTTATCCGCCCCGTTCTTTATGTTTAGATAGAACGAAGAGATTGCAGGCTTTCTTGTGACGATAGCGAAATCGCTACCAGCGGTGCCTCTGTTCGATTTCATACATCCGTCATGTATTCCTACTCTTATACGCAAGAAAAGCTAACGATCAAACTGATCCTTTACATCAATAACTTTGGCAGTGAAGGATACTCATTAGATTTTTATATTAAGATCTTGTTTGATTGACCGGATACCAATGATATAAATATTGAAACAGCAATAAAAAAACCTCGAAATTACGTGTTTTAGTTTTAACATGTTTTTCAAAACTCTTTTATGCAATATGAAACTTGGTGCTAAGGCAAACGTTCACAGAAATAGAAATATGGTCAATAAAATAAAAGTAAAAAATTTGAGAAAGTCTGACACATAGGCGATGATTACTAAAAAATAATTACAACACTATGTTGGTGTCTATGTGAGTGCATGGAAAACGAAGCGCTTGGTTTCAGATAATATTTTAATCAATCAGAACTAAAATGCAAAGAACACAAAAGAAAAATAACGCGAAATGTAATTCGTTACTGGGTAAATCCATATAAAAGCCACCACCACCACCGTTACATATACCTCCTACGCCAGTGACGAGATCTGCTTCAGTTTGTAGAACTGGGTAAGGTGAATTTTCTGGAAAATCTGAACACCCTAAAACTAGTTACCAAAATTTTTCTGTCTAATGCATTAGATAGTCCATTCAATTCTCCACCAAATGAAGACGTCAACGAACTCTCTAGGACATTCTTTCAAGAGGTACCAGTGTAAATATGATCCCGATCTAGAGTTCTACGTTAAAGTGAAAATATTCGAGAAATTTATGCCGGTAATGTTCGGAAACTTGTAACTCAACGGCTGAATATTGTAGAAGTTAAGTTTACATCTCATTTTGTGCAGAATTGAATGAACTATCTAATGATGTGGTGAGAAAACTTCCGAAAGGAATTTCATTTTCACTAAGTTTTCCACAAAAACAGTTATTCAGAACTCTCTCTCTGTTTCCAGAGGTTGATGTGCTTTTTCATTCGATACTAAGCTCAACGTTATACGTTATATCCTTTGGTTAGGGGAGACTGTGCAATTTAGACTAGCAATGAGCTTCTTAAGTCAAATAGAGACCTTTTCATGAAGAGAGCCTGTCCGTCGGACTTTAAAAACTGAAGTAGATCTAGTCGCTGATGCAACAAGCCGATGTAATGATAGTGGTAGGTGTCAACGAGATTTACCCTTACGTGAATTCACAAAAAAAAGTTACCTCAGTTTCTGCTTGACTTCTTGAATATTTTCTTGTGTCTGAATAACCGATGGATGTGTCGATGGTAATGATTTTAATTGAATTTCAAGTTCATTTTCATAACACTCTAATGCTCTGCCGAAATTACACATATTTTCATGTACAGCACCAATACTGCCAAGTACGTCTGCAATTTTATAATGATTTGATGGCAGATGTTTTTGACGAATTCTTAATACACGATTGAAATTCGTAAGTGCTTGTCTATATTTCTTTTGATCGTCATACATACTACCAATGTTATAGTATAAATCACACACTTCTAGATGATCATCACCATAAATCATTTTGAGTATTTCTAATGATTTGTTGTAGTATTTCAGTGCTGTGTCATAGTCACCTTTGTCGTTATATGCAGTAGCCAAATTATGGTAACAAAAAGACACGTTTTGATCATTATCTGCTAAAGATTCAGCAATTTTTAAGGCTTTCTCGTGCCATTCAATTGCTA